AGGTGAAATGAAACCAGGAAGAAAAGGTAAGTTTTGATTTCTTTAATTTGGTTCTAATGTTGGGACTAGCTTAAAACATTTCTAAGTTGAGATAATGTTGGCAGGGCACAGAGGCCAACAATGAACCTTTTCTAGTCCTTTTTTAGCAGGATACTTATCTTTTTAAAATAAATATGTTGGGAATAAAATCAAGAAAAGTAACAATGCTAATACCACTTTAATAGGTGGCTAATTTATTAGAATATAATTTTTTTTAAAGAGAGAATTTTTTTTAATATTTAATTTTTAGTTTTTTTCAGTGGACACATCTTTATTTTATTTTTATGTGGTGCTGAGGATTGAACCCAGTGCCCCACGCATGCCAGGTGAGCGCGTTACCGCTTGAGCCACATTCCCAGCCCATAATTTTCTTTTTAATTTTACAGTAATTCTGAAGCAGATTAGGCACTATCTGGGAAGTTGTAAAATTGGGAATGGAAAAATTCTGGTTTATATTTTGATTCAGCTCCTTAAGATCATTCTTTATAGTATATTTCAAGTGGGTTGCTGTCCTTCTGTTTGTGCTTCATCCTGCCCCAATCCTGTTTACATGTAGAAGCATACTTTATTCAGTTATCAAATAGCTAGAGACATTTGTTAAACCAACCTAAATTTGTATTTTTGGGCATTTAGTTATTTGAGGTTGCTCGTTAGATGATAAAAAATGCTTTCTTATTTAGTACTACTCTGTTTTTTGTCAGTTTTCAAGGTACCACATGTTTGTTTCATGCAGTTTTCAGGCTTATTAAAAGGCAACCTCTGTATACTTTCCTTTTTTGGGGTCTGTGCTGGGAATTGAACTCAGGGGCACTTTACTCATCGAGCTACATCTAATGGCCTTTTTCTTTTTGGAGACAGGGTCTTGAAGAGTTGCTTAGGCTGATCTTGAACTTGTAATCCTCCTGCCTTATCCTCCTGGGTCCAGATATAGGCATGCACCGTTTTTCATATCATTTTATGTTTTCTTGTTGAAGTTGTTGTTTCTGGATTGGATATTTGTGGTGTTTCAGAGTGGTTAATGCCAGGTTGTGTGTTCCTGAAATATTTATGGAAACAATTTGATTAGCTTCAAGTCCTTCCTTAGTGCCCCAGTGTATTCTTTCAGTTTCATGGCCTCAGCAGTTTTTTGTGAAATAAATTAATTCAAGTATTTACTTAGGTGGGTAATATGTCAAGTTCTTTTTTCATATTACCAAGTTTAATAATTTACAACAACCCTTTGTGTAAATAACGTTTTACTGGTGAGAGGAAACTAATTTTTTTAGGGTCACACAGTAATAGGCTGGGATTTGAATCCTGACAGCATGAAACCAGAATGCACTCTCACCCTATCTATACATTCCAAGAGGTCCTGTGTGACTCACATCCCAGGATTTTTTCAAAGTGAAATGAATGTTTCTGGAAGAACTCAAAAGTATCCATTCACCTTGAATTTCTGTGGAATTTGGGACAAGTGTTAAATTAAAACTCAGTTTGTATCAATGGATGTTTAATATGCCATATCTGAGCCTCGACCACTTAGCTTACTAGTATGATTTGTGAGATGCATCTTCAAATCATCATTTGTTCTCATTGGTTGTATTAGACATCATGCAGGATGTATTGCGGGAAGAGAAACTGGATACAAGCTTGATCTACTTAGGAAACTGATGAGTTTGTAGATAAAAATGTAAGATTTTCCAGGGGTCCATGCCTGTAATGCTAGTGCTTGGGAGCCTTAGGCAGGGGGATCACAAATTCAAAACTAGTCTTGGCAACTTAGTGAGGCACTAAGCTATTCAGTGAGACCCTTTCTCTAAATAAAAGACAAAAAGGGCTGGGGACGTGGCTCAGTGTTGTGCTCCTGGGTTTAATCCCTGGTACAAAAAAAAAGTAAGATTGAATTTTCAGTATTATAGCATTGTGCCATTCAGAATGGTAGTTTTGGGGCCAATGATATAGCTCAGTGGTAAGAGCAGGTGGTTGGACACTCAAGACTCTGGGTTGATTCCCAGCACTACAAAAACAAAAACCAACCAAACAAAATTATAATAAATAATGGCAATTGTAAAATAATATTTTATTTGGAAGTATGAAAATAAGCAAGCTTGAATAAATTTTCAACTTTGAATTTTTAAACTTTCTTTTAGGTATTTCTTTAAATCCTGAGCAATGGAGCCAGCTGAAGGAACAGATTTCTGACATTGATGATGCAGTAAGAAAACTGTAAAATCTGAGCCATATATATCCTGTACTGTTCTGGTTGTTTTAATCTGTCTTTTTACATTGGCTTTTGTTTTCTAAACGTTGTTTTCCAAGCTATTGTATATTTGGATTGCAGAACAATTTGTAAGATGAATACTTTTTTTTAATGTGCATTATTAAAAATGTTCTGAGTGAAGCTAATTGTCAACTTTATTAAGGAGGATTGCTTTGTGCCCACCACTTAGTGTAAAATAAAATCAAGTAATTACAATCTTAACTGTTGTGGCCTTTTTTGATCAAAAGACTAGATATTCTTTAAGGCCAAAATTAACAGTTTTATAGACCTATTAGTTTTAACTCAGTTTTTACATGAAAAAGATTTGTATTGCATTGAGTTTTTTAACATTAGATTTGTGAAATCCATGATCTCTTCAAGCCAAATGTCAAAATTTGTCCCAGTCACTTTATTTTTTTAAAATTCATTTTCACTTAATAACAATCATTTTTATTTCACTCTTTTTTTGTTGAATATATTATGCTAATTTGAAAAGTCAGTGAAACTGTCAAAATGTTGATTCAATAAGTTACTTCAAATAAGGGAACTACAATCACTAAATCTGTAGTAGTTATTAGAGCAGATACAGTTTGGTAATGTGGCTTGTATGAAAACTTCAAGCAGGTGTATGTCATTACCTCATAGTGTTCTGTGTAGTTATCTTACTGCTTAGTGTACAGAAAATAATGATTAGATGTCTGATTAGCTTTCACTTAGTAAACATGTTCACCATGGGATGTCTGTAAAATCAGATATTGTTAAACTAGACTAGGATTTAATAAAAACTGTGAAAGCTTACTGGCCTAACATTTTATTTTATAATATTTGAGTATGAATTATGTGTAGCCAGAGAGGTCACTGAGCTTTACCGGTGCAGTTAGATAATGTGGTCAGTTTTTAGGGGAAAGATCACATGTTTAGGATTTTTGGCCTTTGGTTCAGTAGAGTTTGTTATTTTGCAGTTAGCCTACTGGACAATGGCATTCTAGACACAATGTTACTAATTTTAGTAAATGCTTTTAAGTAGTTTTCATTTTAACTGTAGTGAAGCAGACAATTAAGGCGCATGTTTCAGGGGCTTTGCAGCAATAAATAGGGTATGGTGTGCCTTAATAAAAGAATGTAAAGGAAACATACTGAAATTAAGGAAGGTGGCATGTAAAGAGGAAAGAATTTTCTTCAAACTAAATGATATGATATTTTTGAGATTTTAATCATATTAATAGGATAACACAATTCTAGGTAGAATAGTAAAAAACAAAAGGCTTAGAGGTAAAAATAACTTTCACAAGTTGTTTATGGTAGCAGATCTCAAATGGTTACTGCCATTTAGGGCTACCATATCAAGAAAATTGCACTATTCTTTCAGCAAATATGATTCTTATGTTTTAAAACATTTTGTAGTATAATTTTAAGGACTTAATTTTAAAACCATCTGCCAGGTCACATAGTTAGTCTTTTTTTTTTTTTTATATATATATATATATATTTTCTAGGTGCAAATTGCTAAAATAGATCTTTTTTTTCCCCTGATAGTTTAGTCTATCAAATAATAGGTACTCACGTGTTCACATACTGTATGTATTTAGACAAATCATTCTTGATTGGTATGCCCCCTTATTTGGGAACATGAATGTCCTATATTGGATACTTTTAAAAGTATTATTTTTGACACAGAGAAAGGGTTGTTAATTATACAGAACTTTGGTTTTGGTGTAGATGAAGAAGGAATCATGGATAAATTTCCTAGATTTACATGAATTCAGAGGGTGCAATCTACTTATACTGAGATGGCACAGTAGTCTATCACCTAGGCATTTACTGGTTGTTTGGCATAAAATTAGTAAAATCTTATAAGGAGTGTTGGCTATATGGTAAGTTGACTGCTAAATTCATTTATGTTACTGGATGTGTAGTATACTGAAATTATTAATATTTTTCTCTGTAGGTAAGGATGAAAATTGAGTTAAAATAAAACAGACTAACTTGTAATGAAACGGAAGAATAGAGTACATTTATTTTCTGTTTAAACTTTATCTCCTCAGTAAGATTTCTCCCAAGAAGAAAGCTCGGCATTTTGAGGCATATTATCTTACTTTGTGATGCCAAAAATGAATTTAATTAATGTCCATATTCAGGTTTTGTCCTTTAATATACTCAGTAGCAGGGCCTTCTACAGTTTTTTCTCTTTTAAATATGAACATTAGACCAATTTCCAGTTCTTTTGGATTTTAAAGAACAATGACTGAAAAAGAAAAACCCTTTGCATTTTGGTTATTTTCTTTTTCTTTGCTTAAAAACTTCTCTTAAAGAATATTCCTACCTCATTAATTAGTCAAGATGCTGTGATGATGAATCTATTCTACATAATGTATTTAGAAACAAAGACTTCGTGGGAAAAATGAAATTACATCCTGTCTTAGCTACTGAGGAGAAAAGAGAAAGAATTGAATATTGATTATTTAAGTGTTCTAGACAGAATTATGTTAGAATATTATAAAAGTTTGAAAATTATAAAATGGCTGACCAATATTTAGGTATTCTCCTGAAATTCTTTGTGGTTCACTTTTTATGGAAATTAATAATAGTGAAGCACTCAAGTTTTTTAAGAAAGTGTTTTTCCAGATATACTCTAGTATAAACATGCACATAGTCACAAATATGTAATTCTGTTAATTGTGGAATGCCTGTACACTTTGTTTGTACATCTTCCATGGAGATATCAGTGAATATGATTCTCCACCTGTGAATATTTTAAATGTTGAAATAAAAGTAAGAAATGTGGTCTTTGTGTTTTCCCAGTTTCACAAGGCTGAAGATGAATGGATTATTTTTTGAATGTGTTTTACTAACAAATAGAATACCTTTCTGTTATGAATGCTTGGAATCAATTTTTGAGTATAAAATCTTTTGAAGACCTTTGAGAGGGGATGGGGTGGGCCCATTTTTTTTTTCTCTACCTGATGCACATGGAAAAATGCAAATACCAAGATGTACAGTCTCCTTTTTTTTGCTTGATTCTAAGTGCTTTGCAGTGAGAGGATTCCTTGTTATACTTAACTATATAGTGGATTTTGGAGTATTTCAGACTTGTCATTTTTGTTTATGAAGTATCTATTTCCTCTTGTTAATCAGTTTTTTTTTCTTATACATAGGGATTTTATTTAATTTGTTTATGAACTTATACAAAGATTGAAAGGATTCATGATGACTCTTATTTCTATTTCAACTGTAAATTGGTTTCAGTGAAATGTGGAGTCAAATCTAGTCAAGAAAAGTACTTAAAGTTTATATAGTATAAAAAGCATGAAACATTGAAAGAATTCTATGGAAGTAGTTAACTGTAACAGTCTATCCATGTCCTTCTGAATAAAAAAATCTTGTTACATAGTTACCCCCCCCCCCCCAAATGCTTGATGAGTTTCTTACAGAGTTCAGATTTTGAGACTACTTTTATAGCCATTTTAGTCTTGGATTACTAGCACCTCCTTGACATTAAGTGAAATACTCTTCTTTCCTTGTTTCACTCTTAGGCTCCTGATAGTTTAAATGGTTATCCTTCTGCTGGGTAATGTATTGTTAGACGATGATTTATACCACTAACTAACTTTTCTGGGAAAAAAGGCAGTTAAGGTGAATTTCAACCAGTTGGATACTATAACATTCATGGTTACAAAGGTATACAAAGTGCTTTCCCTACCATCCAAGCCCAGAACACAGCTAAATTGTGTGTGATTAACCTACATCTTGGAAAGTAATGTGGATGTGAAGTATCAAGTTGTTGCAAGAAGGTAAGAGAACTTCTGAATATCCCTTCACTCAGGAATCCTGTTCAAATTTTGTCAATTGTCTTAGTACAAGCTTCCAACCCAGGGTCAGATATCTTGTTTGCTTATTTCATTAGTCTCAATTCAGTCTGATCATTTTTTTTTTCCTTTGACTTTTGCAACCTTGTCACTTCTGAAGGTTTGATGAAGTGAATGAAGCCCATTACTGATACTGACAAAGGGGCCAGGGCAGAGGTTTGTTCAATGAGGAGTGAACAACTTGTTTGAGTAGTTTAGTTGAGAAGGATCAAAATGGGACGGTGGCTGCAGAGGTTTCTAGAATCAAGGTTGGGGTGTGACAATACAGTGTGCAGCATCAAAGAGTTCAGAGTTGCTTTCCTTAAGTACATATTTATATTGACCTTTGGTGTCAACTAAAATTTCAGTCATTTTCCACTTTAGTTTTTCTGGTGATTTTTTTTTTTTTTTTTTTTTTTCCCTAAATGTCACCTACATCATGAATACTTTTAATAACCAAGAATCAAAAATAACTCCTGGTTTTCAAGTTTGAAAAACAGGCCTTGATATTATTCATTGAAAAGTAATTTCAGAAGCCCTATGGTTTTCTTCAGAATTCTTCCTTAAGGTCTTTTGATATCCAAACTTTGAAAAATGGATCTGTTTTTAATCTATGACTCATTTTTTTCTTCTTCTGAATATGGGGAAATGCTTCTTGTTTTCTGTGGAGCCATTAATTGGTAAAGAAAGTTCTTAGAAACAATAGAGAACATTTTTGACATGTTTAAGCCCTGTAACAAATTGGTTTCTTGAATTTTTAAGTAGAACTGTTATTGGTGTATAAAGAGGTATTCAAAGTAATGTTGTCAGCAAGACACTTCCTTAAGAAACTGCTGAAGGGCTGATGCGTTTAAAATAAACTTTAAAGAGCGCTGAAAACATGGTTCTGCAACCTTTCTAACTAGCAATCTTTGGAGGTGGGTAAAACAGTAATTAGGATTCATTCCTGTAAGTATTGAAAAGGACTTGGGTTAGACTTTCTCAGGTTTAGAATTTTTTTTTTTTTTTTTAAAGGCAGAGAAGCTGGGCTGGGGTTGTGCTCAGAGGTGGAGCGTTTGCCTAGTATGCATGAGGCACTGGGTTCAATCCTCAGCACCATATAAAAATAAAATATCTATAACTAAAAAAAAAAAAAAGGCCGAAGCTCTACTAAGTTTATGTAAAAATTCTCTTACTGCCAATTGCCCTATGGGGAGAGCCTGGTGTATAATATATGTGGATTAATGGTCCCCACTTGTTGAGTGCCAGAGTGGAGAAATGTGGGCAGTAACAAGTATTAGACATTTATTTTCCCATTTACTTTTCATCCTGTGGGGAAGGTACTCTTACTTAGATACATTTTATAGGTGAGGAAATAGGGATTTCCAGAGAATAGTT